TACACACTCTACCCAACAACCCCCTGTAACTGTATGTACACACACTACCCCACAACCTCCTGTAACTGACTGTACACACATTACCCAACAACCTCCTGTAACTGTATGTACACACTCTACCCAACAACATCCTGTAACTGTATGTACACACATTACCCAACAACATCCTGTAACTGTATGTACACACTCTACCCAACAACATCCTGTAACTGTATGTACACACTCTACCCCACAACCTACTGTAACTGTCTCTGCATACTCTACCCCACAATCTCCTGTAACTGTCTGTACACACTCTACCCCACAACATCCTGTAACTGTCTCTGCATACTCTACCCCACAATCTCCTGTAACTGTCTGTACACACTCTACCCCACAACATCCTGTAACTGTATGTACACACACTACCCAACAACCTCCTGTAACTGTCTGTACACACTCTACCTCATAAGCTCCTGTAACTATCTATGCACACTGTAACCAAAAACTCCCTGTAACTATCTCTGCATACTCTACCCAACAACATCCTGTAACTGTATGTACACACACTATCCAACAACATCCTGTAACTGTCTGTACACACTCTACCTCACAACCTCCTGTAACTGTCTGTACACACTCTACCCAACAACCTCCTGTAACTGTCTGTACACACTCTACCCAACAACCGCCTGTAACTGTCTGTACACACTCTACCTCACAACCCCCTGTAACTGCCTGTACACACTCTACCCAACAACCGCCTGTAACTGTCTGTACACACTCTACCCAACAACATCCTGTAACTGCATGTACACACATTACCCAACAACCTCATGTAACTGTCTGTACACACATTACCCAACAACATCCAGTAACTGTATGTACACACATTACCCCACAACCTCCTGTAACTGTATGTACACACTCTACCCCACAACCTCCTGTAACTGTCTCTGCATACTCTACCCCACAATCTCCTGTAACTGTCTGTACACACTCTACCCCACAACATCCTGTAACTGTCTGTACACACTCTACCCAACAACCTCCTGTAACTGTCTGTACACACTCTACCTCACAACCCCCTGTAACTGCCTGTACACACTCTACCCAACAACCGGCTGTAACTGTCTGTACACACTCTACCCAACAACATCCTGTAACTGTATGTACACACATTACCCAAAAACCTCATGTAACTGTCTGTACACACATTACCCAACAACATCCTGTAACTGTATGTACACACATTACCCAACAACATCCTGTAACTGTATGTACACACTCTACCCAACAACCTCCTGTAACTGTATGTACACACTCTACCCCACAACCTCCTGTAACTGTCTCTGCATACTCTACCCCACAATCTCCTGTAACTGTCTGTACACACTCTACCCCACAACATCCTGTAACTGTATGTACACACACTACCCAACAACCTCCTGTAACTGTCTGTACACACTCTACCTCATAAGCTCCTGTAACTATCTGTGCACACTGTAACCAAAAACTCCCTGTAACTGTCTCTGCATACTCTACCCCACAACATCCTGTAACTGACTGTACACACATTACCCAACAACATCCTGTTACTGTCTGTACACACTCTTCCCAACAACCTCCTGTAACTGTCTCTGCATACTCTACCCCACAATCTCCTGTAACTGTCTGTACACACTCTACCCCACAACATCATGTAACTGTATGTACACACTCTACCCAACAACCTCCTCTAACTGTCTCTGCATACTCTACCCCACAATCTCCTGTAACTGTCTGTACACACTCTACCCCACAACATCCTGTAACTGTCTCTGCATACTCTACCCCACAATCTCCTGTTACTGTCTGTACACACTCTTCCCAACAACCTCCTGTAACTGTCTCTGCATACTCTACCCCACAATCTCCTGTAACTGTCTGTACACACTCTACCCCACAACATCCTGTAACTGTCTCTGCATACTCTACCCCACAATCTCCTGTAACTGTCTGTACACACTCTACCCCACAACATCCTGTAACTGTATGTACACACTCTACCCCACAACCTCCTGTAACTGTCTCTGCATACTCTACCCCACAATCTCCTGTAACTGTCTGTACACACTCTACCCCACAACATCCTGTAACTGTATGTACACACACTACCCAACAACCTCCTGTAACTGTCTGTACACACTCTACCTCATAAGCTCCTGTAACTATCTGTGCACACTGTAACCAAAAACTCCCTGTAACTGTCTCTGCATACTCTACCCCACAACATCCTGTAACTGACTGTACACACATTACCCAACAACATCCTGTAACTGTCTGTACACACTCTTCCCAACAACCTCCTGTAACTGTATGTACACACTCTACCCAACAACCCCCTGTAACTGTCTGTACACATATTACCCCACAACCTCCTGTAACTGTCTGTACACACATTACCCCACAACCTCCTGTAACTGTCTGTTCACACTCTACCCAACAACCACCTATAACTGTCAGTACACACACTACCCAACAACCTCCTGTAACTGTCTGTACACACTCTACCCAACAACATCCTGTAACTGTCTGTACACACTCTACCCAACAACCTCCTGTAACTGTCTGTACACACTCTACCCCACAACCTCCTGTAACTGTATTTACACACTCTCCCCAACAACCGCCTGTAACTGTTTGTACACACTCTACCCAACAACCTCCTGTAACTGTTTGTACACACACTACCCAACAACCTCCTGTAACTGTATGTACACACTCTACCCAACAACCTTCTGTAACTGTCTGTACACACACTACCCCACAACCTCTTGTAACTGTCTGTACAAACTCTACCCAACAACCTCCTGTAACTGTCTGTACACACTCTACCAAACAACATCCTGTAACTGTCTGTACACACTCTACCCAACAACCTCCTGTAACTGTCTGTACACACATTACCCCACAACATCCTGTAACTGTATGTGCACACATTACCCAACAACCTCCTGTAACTATCTGTACACACATTACCCAACAACATCCTGTAACTGTCTGTACACACTCTACCTCACAAGCTCCTGTAACTATCTGTACACACTCTAACCAAAAACTCCCTGTAACTGTCTCTGCATACTCTACCCCACAGCATCCTGTAACTGTCTAAACACACACTACCCAACAACCTCCTGTAACTGTATGTACACTCTCTACCCCACAACATCCTATAAGTGTCTAACCACACGACCTCACAACCTCCTGAAACTGTCTAAACACACTATCCCACAATCTCCTGTAACTGTCTGTACACACTCTACCTCACAACATCCTCTAACTGTTTGTACACACTCTACAACACAACCTCCCGTAACTGTATAAACACACTCTACCCAACAACCTCCTGTAATTGTCTGTACACACTCTACCCCACAACCCGCTTGTACTGTCTTAACATTCTACCCCACAACCTCCTGTAACTGTCTGTACAAACTATACCCCACAACCCGCTTGTATCTGTCTAAACACTCTACCCGAAAACCTCCTGTAAGTGTCTGTTTACACTCTACCCAACGACCTCCTGTAACTGGCTGTACACATTCTAACGAACAACTCCTTGTAACTGTCTGTACACTCTCTACCCCGCAACCTCCTGTAATGTGCTGTCTGTATAACTCTCTACCCCACAACCTCCTGTAACGTGCTGTCTGTTTAACTCTCTATCCCACAACCTCCTGTAATGTGCTGTCTGTATAACTCTCTATCCCACAACCTCCTGTAATGTGCTGTCTGTATAACTCTCTACCCCACAACCTCATGTAACGTGGTGTCTGTATAACTCTCTACCCCACAACCTCCTGTAATGTGCTGTCTGTATAACTCTCTACCCCACAACCTCCTGTAACGTGCTGTCTGTATAACTCTCTACCCCACAACCTCCTGTAACGTGCTGTCTGTATAACTCTCTACCCCACAACCTCCTGTAACGTGCTGTCTGTATAACTCTATCCCACAATATCCTGTAACGTGCTGTTTGTATAACTCTCTACCCCACAACCTCCTGTAATGTGCTGTCTGTATAACTCTCTATCCCACAACCTCCTGTAACGTGCTGTCTGTATAACTCTCTATCCCACAACCTCCTGTAACGTGCTGTCTGTATAACTCTCTACCCCACAACCTCCTGTAATGTGCTGTCTGTATAACTCTCTATCCCACAACCTACTGTAACGTGCTGTCTGTATAACTCTCTACCCCACAACCTCCTGTAACGTGCTGTCTGTATAACTCTCTACCCCACAACCTCCTGTCACGTGCTGTCTGTATAACTCTCTACCGCACAACCTCATGTAACGTGCTGTCTGTATAACTCTCTACCCCACAACCTCCTGTAATGTGCTGTCTGTATAACTCTCTACCCCACAACCTCCTGTAATGTGCTGTCTGTATTACTCTACCCCACAATATCCTGTAATGTGCTGTCTGTATAACTCTATCCCACAATATCCTGCCCAGGTGAGTAAGGTCAATCGCCATGGAACGTAGGAACGCTCTTGACTTCCACCGAGCCGTACATCCTTAAACAGTTCCAACTTCTCTAAAAGATGCCTTGATCGGATCTCCATATCCGCATTAAAAGCACGCTAGGCGGTTGGACTTGGATAGTTCTCGGTTTTTAGTTCAGGCACTCTGCTCCCTACTCCCCTGTACATTCAGCTGATGGAAGTATTGCGCCACCTTCTTGTTGCGCCTCGAGAATTGCATCATCTTCCCTTTCTTGTAACGATACACCAGCCATGCATAGACCTTGCACGAATTCCAACATTTGTCAGTTTTATTTGTGTGTGTTACTTCTTCCATTCCCCTGATGATCACCACGTGTATTGACACATCCCGCTTGTAAACTATGCTCACTCCATCGTCGAAGAAACTGATCCTTCACCGACAGATTGACATTGCACATATCACTACACCAACATCGCTTACCTCCCCTTGGTGTCTTCCGCATGCACCTCCAGTACATTATTTGCGAGGAAGGTATTATTCGAGTAATGCCTACTTGGTTATAAAGTTATCAGAAACGGTGGTGTTTCGTTTATTACAACAGACGATGTTGCGGTTGTAGCTGATCTGCTCAATACGTTTGACGACAACATCAAACGTGGTGCTTCCAGACACTTCAAACGTTGAGGAATTCATCTACATCTTACTTTAATTCGCTTTACAGTGAATATGTTTACTTGGAGGTAAGTGTCATTTTGCTTTGTATAGTGTACAGAATGCGTCACATATAGTTTTTCTAAGACAAGGAGAATATCTAAAGTTTCTTTCCTTCCATCGTGAATAATACTAATTCTAACAAAGCACACCAGTGACGGAAAAACCGTTATGTGAACCTATCCGTTATGTACACGCTATAACGACTGCAGCACTGTACATCTGATGTGAGCCGTCTACCCACATTGCCTCACTCACTGTAATTGTACGTACTGACATCCCGAGTTTCAAACCTATTGCATCATAACCGTTCTGAGAATTCATTTCCATATTTTATTCAAATTAAAATCTTTAAACTCTTTAACGTTTTCGGTTTAAGAATTAAATCTCTATTCAAACATTTAAACTTTATATACCAATTTAACATATATAATTATGGAATAAATATCTACATGAGCATTTGAATAAGACTTAAACATTTAAATGTTTTACACTACCTGGCCTGGTTCGTTATATGATTGGCTAAAATCTAGTTTCTGAAATGAATATATTTTAAAGAAAAAGACAGTTGCTAAATTATCAGCGTAAAAAAAAATATTATGTTTCTTCATTTTCAGACACATCGGTAGTCTAGACTTGTCAAATATTATAGACTTGCATTGGTAGTATTGGATATATTGTTGCAGGGTCTGTAAGACAGATTGATCATCATATGATTGCGAGTGGCGTATTCGTCCAATGATACCACATAGACGTCGAGGGTGCAATGCCCCCCAGTGGGTCAAGCGAGTGCTTATGAACATTCACACCTTACAACCACTGAAACCCCGACCCCCTCGTGAGCTGGCAGCATGTGTCAGATGATTTACCCCTAATTATGTACACTCTCGCCTCCCCCGGGCTTGTGTAACGAGTGTTTGAAGACAGCGCTGCTGTACCATGAATGTGGAAAACTTGCAATTTAACCGATCTAGATAATTGAAAAGCAAGTCTAGCTAGCTCTAGTCCACATATGCCTTTTGCATTGTCTTCACAATTAATAAAGTAAAATATATGAATTAATTCTACATCTATCAACATGGTGAGAGGCAAGCTCGCTGTTTGGTGAATAATGGTGTAGAATTTCTTTCTATTTTGAAAATGTAAACATTCCTTAGCGATAGCACTCTTCTGAGATTACTGTAAATTTCTTATTAGAGTTAGTTCCAATGTCTATGACGCACTTTCTCTTCACAAGGATCGAAACAAGAAAGACTTTCATGTTTACTTTGCAAATGTAAAGAAAACATCAGAAACTGCTTCCTGAACAAAGTGTATCCATATGTCACAAACACTCCCCAGCCAACTCGAGCCAACAACAACACGGCCACCATGTAACACGTAATCCACAGCATGGCGCTCGAACCTAAGGTAATTAAGCCAGTAATCTAGTGATGCTCTGCACCAACCAGAACTGGTCCAGTTCAAGGCATGTTTCCGAGGACGGGAGCACTCACACACGCTGATGCACTGAGTGAACCGACATGTTATCACCAGGTGCACATGAAGCCCTTGTTCCCCATGACAGACAGCAGAGATAGTCTACCCTCGCTACAGTAAACTAGCAAATGCCCATACATATTTATAGATGAAGCCTCACGATTGAATAGCGGAGGATACTACCCCAGGGTTAGAAAACATCTACACACGGTAAAAATTCATAATCAATAGGAAACATTTATGCATTTAGAAATAAATCTATAGACATACAAAAAAAATATAAACAGAGGAAATAGCTTAAACATAGAGTTTTAATCATCATTATCATGGAACATACAAATAAACGTAGAAAACAGAAATAAACAGAAAAACATGCATTAACACTGGAAACACTGGATGCTTATAAATAGAAAACATCTCGTACCATGAACACATATATAAACAGAGGAAACATACATACATAAAGGATGCATATATAAACGCAGGAAACACATAAGCATATGTAATCAGAGTAAACATATAAACATAGGAAACATACATCAATATTGAAAACATATAAACATGGGCAACATAGGAACAAGGAAACATGAATTAACATAGGAAACACATAAGCAAGGAAAACATCTATATATCCATATAAACATATATAAAAACATACAACTATCAACTCGCGTTCTAGAAAGATGGTGTATCAGTACACATCACATGGTTTTACATATACGTGATATGGAAATTGTCTTGTGTTGATAGTGCATTGCTAAGTAAGTGTGTTATTTTCCCAGTATATCATCGCCCACAAGGTAACCATGCAGAATATATACTGTTGTCTCACAGTTATTATCTCCTCTTACAAAGTGACTGTTGAGGATCTATTGTAACACTGATCTGATCCGGAAATCTAATGTCTGCCGTTTAGATTGCATTCAGCTATGTTATACTTCAGATACCTCTGTATGAAGTCTTCATCATATACATATCTGGTTTGTCACACATATATACTGTGCGAATTCTAGATCTCCTACAGCTCTGGTCTTCTTCTCCAGATAACTGCTGTGTGAAGTGTAGATCACATACAGCTTATACCTGATAAATGTACCTTTGTATCCGTGATTTATCACACATCGCTTTTCTTCCATTGACGGGGTCTGTAATAATCCTAGCTGTGTGACATCTATCAGGGGCCTCCTTTCCTCTATTACAGGTATGTAACCTCGACTGTTTATGATCTGCCATGCGTCTTTTTAACCCCATTAAGGGGTCTGTAACCTCGACTGTGTAAGAGCTATCATGCGTCTTTTTACCCTATTACCGGGTCTGTAACCTCGACTGCGTAAGATCTGTCATTCGCCTTTTTTACCCTACTACGTGGTCTGTAACCTCGACTGCATAAGATCTGTCATTCGCCTTTTTTACCCTATTACGTGGTCTGTAACCTCGACTATGTAAGATCTATCATGCGTCTTTTTACCCTATTTTTATTACCACTGTACCCCAACAGTTTGGACGTGCCTGTTCAGTTGATCTGAGATGACTTCACTGTATATTATCGATGTGTATAATGTGTGTGTTTGTAAGAGTTGTCCATTGCTCGCGTAGCTGCAAAACAACGTCTTTCACATCATCGTTGTGTTTCTCCATGTTCACCTGCAATAGTTCAGCCTTCCAGATTGATTTAGAGCAGAATTAACGTATACCCTCACACCCGTTACAAGGCGACATCACCTGTTAAGCCCATCCATTGACATACTACACTAGGGGTCGAAGCCCTTCTGACATACGTTCTGACAATGCTCTTAAGATGCATCATCGTGGTTCGTCTGAAATACTGGTGCTTACCCCAGGGGGTCCCTCCGTCTGCCCGGGACCTGAGTCAATGTTTGGAGGAACTTTACGACATGAACAGATAACCGCATTTTATCCATTACACATAAAAGCGCTTGTTACGTGTTAGCATGAGGTTGAACGGGATGTCGAAGCTCATGTTCGGCAGAAACAAGTAATCTGTAAGGAAAACAAACATATCCCCATTCCTAAATATCCAGAGTACACAAAGGCCGCGTGTTCTATTAAATGTGTCTGGTATGAAGTAGGGTTTACCAGACTGGCGGATGTTCACACATGAATCAAGCTTGTTCCGCACTAGCTGCTGTACCACACGCAAACCTTGTGCAACTGTGTGGATAGAGTGAATGCAAAGACACAGTCCTTACCTACCCCAGATAACATCTATGATACAGCTAGATCATACAATCCTTGCCTACCCCAGATAACATCTATGATACAGCTAGATCATACAATCCTTACCTACCCTACATCTATGATACAGCTAGATCATACAATCCTTGCCTACCCCAGATAACATCTATGATACAGCTAGATCATACACTCCTTGCCTACCCCAGATAACATCTATGATACAGCAAGATCATACACTCCTTGCCTACCCCAGATAACATCTATGATACAGCTAGATCATACACTCCTTGCCTACCCCAGATAACATCTATGATACAGCTAGATCATACAGTCCTTGCCTACCCCAGATAACATCTATGATACAGCTAGATCATACAGTCCTTGCCTACCCCAGATAACATCTATGATACAGCTAGATCATACAATCCTTGCCTACCCCAGATAACATCTATGATACAGCTAGATCATACACTCCTTGCCTACCCCAGATAACATCTATGATACAGCTAGATCATACAATCCTTGCCTACCCCAGATAACATCTATGAGACAGCTAGATCATACAATCCTTGCCTACCCCAGATAACATCTATGAGACAGCTAGGTTATACCAGGTAACTGCTGTGTGAAGTGTAGATCACATAAAGCTTAAACCTGATAAATGTACCTGTGTATCCGATATCTATCACACATTTCTTCCATCTGGGTCTGTAATAATCCTAGTTGTGTGACATCTATCAGGCGCCTCCTTTCCTCTATTACAGGTCTGTAACCTCGATTGTGTAAGATTTGTCATGTGCCTTTTTTACCCTATTAAGGGGTCGATAACCTCGACTGTGTAAGATCTCTGTCATGCGCTTCTTTTACCCTATTACGGGGTATGTAACCTCGATTGTGGAAGATCTGTCGTGCGCCTTTTTGACCCTATTAAGGGGTCTGTAACCCCGACTGTGTAAGATCTGTCAAGCGTCTTTTTTACCCCATTACGTGGTCTGTATCCTCGACTGTGTAAGATCTGTCATGCGCCTTTTTGACCCTATTACGGGGTCTGAAACCCCGACTGTGTAAGATCTGTCATGCGCCTTTTTTATCCTATTACGGGGTCTGTAACCTCGATTGTGTACGATCTGTCGTACGCCTTTTTTTACCCTGTTGTGGCGTCTGTAACCTTGACTGCGTAAGATCTGTCATGCGCCTTTTTATCCTATTACGGGGTCTGTAACCTCGATTGTGTACGATCTGACGTGCGCCTTTTTTTACCCTATTGTGGCGTCTGTAACCTTGACTTCGTAAGATCTGTCATGCGCCTTTTTTATCCTATTACGGGGTCTGTAACCTCGATTGTGTAAGATCTGTCGTACGCCTTTTTTGACCCTATTGTGGCGTCTGTAACCTTGACTGCGTAAGATCTGTCATGCGCCTTTTTTATCCTATTACGGGGTCGATACCTCGACTGTGTAAGATCTTTCATGCGTCTTTTTTATCATATTACGGGGTCTGTAACTTCGACTGTGTAAGATCTGTCATGCGCCTTTTTTTACCCTATTACGGGGTCTGTAACCTCGATTGCGTACGATCTGACGTGCGCCTTTTTTTACCCTATTATGGCGTCTGTAACCTTGACTGCGTAAGATCTATCATGCGCCTTTTTTATCCTATTACGGGGTCTGTAACCTCGATTGTGTAAGATCTGTCATGCGCCTATTCTTACCCTATTACGGGGTCTGTAACCTCGATTGTGTACGATCTGTCGTGCGCCTTTTTTTACCCTATTATGGCGTCTGTAACCTTGACTGCGTAAGATCTATCATGCGCCTTTTTTATCCTATTACGGGGTCTGTAACCTCGATTGTGTAAGATCTGGCATGTTCCGCCTTTCTCCATTACGGGGTCTGTAACCTCCACTAAGAGAGATCTACTATACGCTATAGGATGGTGTGTAGTCCTCGACAAGGGCCCACTTGCACAAAGCGATCTTAGCGCTACGACTATTGTAAGCCTATGTTAAAGTATGGGAGTTAAGATCATCTTAGCGCTAAGATCGTTTTGTGCAAGTGGGCCCTGGAATCAGTCCAGGGTTCCATCTAATCTAAAAAATCATCTGAAGTTGACAAATCTACGCATGTACGTACTACACGAGATACTGACGACTTACTGCACCGGTAAGACAAGGAAATGGGAAGGAAGAGGAGAGATCGAGAGCACTGACTTCCACTCCAGGCGAGGGTCCAGGGCGTTTCCTAACTTTGATGGGGAGTCAGATTACCTCAACGCACTGTAAGCTACATAAGTTACAGCAACATTCACTTATATATAGATGGGAATGTAGAACAAGCATACCAGATTCTATTCGGAGTGAATCACTTGGCGAGAATCCAAGTAGGTTTGTAGATTACACAGTCTAACCCAAACAAACCATCTAAGACCGCATGTGAACCTATCAAAGCGGTACAAAAATATCAAAAACAACTGGCGGGATATAGGTAAAATGTTAAATGATGACATGTTATTGTTGAGAAGCATCCAAAACAATGCTAGAATTCTTTACATTGAGATAGATACGGTGATCCTAATGTACTGTTGTTCCCTTACAGACTGCTGTCTGTCCTGCTGGTGTCTGTCGTCACCCAGTACACGCACATTCGAGGTGAGTTGCGGGAAGACGGTGTGACAGTGTGGTGGTGTAACAATGTGGCAGTTTGGTAGTGGGGTAGTGAGACAGTGTGGTTGTGTGGCGGTGTGGTGTTGTGGCGTTGTAACAGTGTGGCGGTGTGTCAGTGTGGCGGTGTGACTGAGTGGCGGTGTGACAGTGTGACGGTGTGTCAGTGTGGCGGTGTGACTGACTGGCGGTGTGTCAGTGTGACAGTGTGGCAGTGTGGTGTTGTGACAGTGTGGCGGTGTGTCAGTGTGGTGATGTGACAGTGTGGCGGTGTGACTGACTGGCGGTGTGTGAGTGTGACAGTGTGTCAGTGTGGCGTTGTGACAGTGTGGCGGTGTGTCAGTGTGGTGATGTGACTGTGTGGCGGTGTGACTAAGTGGCGATATGTCAGTTTGGCGTTGTGTCAGTGTGACAGAGTGGTGGTGTGTCAGTGTGGAGTTGTGTCAGTGTGACAGTGTGTCAATGTGTCAGTGTGACAGTGTGGTGGTGTGTCAGTGTGGCGGTGTGACAGTGTGGCGGTGTGTCAGTGTGACAGTGTGGCGGTGTGTCAGTGTGACAGTGTGGCGGTGTGTCAGTGTGACAGTGTGGCGGTGTGTCAGTGTGGCGGTGTGACTGAGTGGCGGTGTGTCAGTGTGACAGTGTGGCGGTGTGACTGAGTGGCGGTGTGTCAGTGTGACAGTGTGGCGGTGTGTCAGTGTGACAGTGTGGCGGTGTGTCAGTGTGACAGTGTGGCGGTGTGTCAGTGTGGCGGTGTGACTCAGTGGCGGTGTGTCAGTGCGACGTTGTGTCAGTGTGACAGAGTGGCGGTGTGGTGGTGTGACAGTGTGACAGTGTGTCAATGTGGCGGTGTGTCAGTGTGACAGTGTGGCGGTGTGGCGGTGTGACAGTGTGGCGGTGTGGCGGTGTGTCAATGTGTCAGTGTGACAGTGTGGCGGTGTGGCGGTGTGTCAGTGTGACAGTGTGGCGGTGTGGCGGTGTGTCAGTGTGACAGTGTGGCGGTGTGGCGGTGTGTCAATGTGTCAGTGTGACAGAGTGGCGGTGTGGCGGTGTGTCAGTGTGACAGTGTGGCGGTGTGTCAGTGTGACAGTGTGGCGGTGTGTCAGTGTGACAGTGTGGCGGTGTGTCAGTGTGACAGTGTGGCGGTGTGTCAGTGTGGCGGTGTGACTGAGTGGCGGTGTGTCAGTGCGACGTTGTGTCAGTGTGACAGAGTGGCGGTGTGGTGGTGTGACAGTATGGGGGTGACAATTTGAGTTTGGGAGTGTGGCGGCGTGATTGTGTGGTAGTGTGATGATGTGACAATGTGACGGCATGATGGTATGTCGGTGTGATTGTGTGACAGTGTAATGGTATGGAGGTGTGAGTGTATGATAGTGTGACAGTGTAAAGATGTGACAATGTGACGGTATGATGGTATCTGGCGTTGTGATTGTGCGACAGTATGGTAGTGTGATGATGGGACAATGTAACAGTTGATGGTATGTCGGTGTGATTGTGTGACAGTGTGGTAGTGTGATGATGTGACATTGTAACGGTTGATGGTATGGTGGTGTGATTGTGTGACAGTGTGGTAGTGCGATGATGGGACAATGTAACAGTTGATGGTATGTCGGTGTGATTGTGTGACAGTGTGGTAGTGTGATGATGTGACATTGTGACGGTTGATGGTATGGTGGTGTGATTGAGTGACAGTGTGGTAGTGTGATGATGTGACATTGTGACGGTTGATGGTATGTCGGTGTGAGTGTGTGACAGTGTGGTAGTGTGATGATGTGACATTGTGACAGTTGATGGTATGGTGGTGTGATTGTGTGACAGTGTGGTAGTGTGATGATATGTCAATGTGACAGTATGATGGTATATGGCGGTGTGATTGTGTGACAGTGTGGTGGTGTGATGATGTAACAATGTGAAGGTATGATGGTATATGGCGGTGTGAGTGTGTGACAATGTGACAGTTGATGGTATGTCGGTGTGAGTGCGTGACAGTGTGGTGGTATGATGTGACATTGTGACAGTTGATGATATGTTTGTGTGGCAGATTGACGTAGTGATTTTGTGGCGCAGTGATAGCGACGCGGACATAACATATGAACTACTGCTTCATAAACTGTTTATAGAATTGTCTTTGACATATTCAGATCGACGGTTCCTTTCATACCCGGGTCAGAAAACCTTGGGGACAGTAAATGTCGGTGTAATAAAAAACTACGTGTGTTCAGGCGATGCCGGCTCGGTCCTCAGCACCCTCTTCAAGGACTTCTACGCCTGGCGCTTAGAGGACTCCCCGCAGTTCGCGACCTACGTGGGGACGTACCGCTTCAATGACAGGCTCCAGTCTTTCAATGTATCACAGATGATAGAGAGGCATGTAAGTAGGGGCTCCCGATGTCTTTACAGGTGACTTTTGCTAGCTAACACATTCTGAATACATTACTGACCGCCTCCGTGGTCTAGTGGTAGCGCGTCCGCCCGGAGAGCGGAAGGTCCGGGGTTCGATCCCCGACCGCCTCATACCAAAAGACGTTTAAAACGTACTTGTACGTTACCCTGTCTGGCGCTCGGCATTAAGGGGGTAAAACAAGGACTGGTCGGCTCGGAGTCAGTTTTCTGTGTCTGAGTGGAGTATTCATGTTAAACTGCGGCGTGGTATCTCAGTGAGCTAGCACTATAAATCGGCATCAGTCCGGAGTAGTACAAACAGCCACACAAACACACACACGTACATGCACGTCGCTATATAAGTGCAATAATCTTGGACGCGACGTTAAATCCCATTTCACCACACCTCACCTGAATACATTACTCAGCAAGGGCCTTCTGTCCACGCTGTCATATTACTTGATCTGTACACTATCGTATGACAGTATGATCCATGATACACTGCATGACGTTGCAATGTCAATTGTTCCAGAATATAGCGGACAGCTTTCTCTTCGACCTTGAGCAGATAGACCCAGCCGACCTGTGTGAATCGGACGTGATCAACTACAGGATCTTCAAGGATGTGTTGACCACATACGTGAAAGGCTTCAAGTGGAGCAGGTTGGCTTGTAACACATCAGCTTTGTGTCTCTGTATATTCTAGGGCACCCTTGACCAGTAAATAATATCATGTGTCTGTATAGTCTAAGGTATCCCGTTACCCACACATTAATATCACATATCTGTATCTTCTAGGGCATCCCGTTACCCACACAATAATATCACGTGTCTCTATATTCTAGGGCATCCCGTTACCCACATAATAATATCACGTGTCTGTATATTCTAGGGCATCCCGTTACCAACACAATAATATTGTGTATCTGTATAGTCTAGGGCATCCCGTTACCTACACAATAATATCGTGTGTCTCTATAGTCTAGGGCATCCCGTTACCCACACAATAATATTGTGTATCTGAAAATTCTAGGACATCCCGTTACCCACACAATAATATCACGTGTCTTTATATTCTGGGGCATCCCGTTACTCACACAATAATCTCATGTGTCTGTATATTCTGGGACATCCCGTTACCCACACAATTATATTGTATATCTGTATATTCTTGGGCATTCCGTCACCGGCACAACATTTCTTCCCTCGGAATAAGCCAATCACGTTCCCTACTTGTACAAAGCCATTCGTGTTAAATCTATGACACTAATGTACTTTGTTGTCAGCTGATTTCATCAAACATCAAATTTGGTGCATGCAAAACTATCTTTGAGCGTCATAAGTCATTAGCATAATGCCCAATGACAGATCGCCATTTGTTCTCCTGGAGTACATATCTTTCCCGATGAATGCGATGCGGAACCTTCATTAAAGAGACTGTGTACTGCACCTTTTTATTGTGCTAAACGATATATTCTACACGCGTTGAATCCCAAAGCTATACAGAAAGATTCGTTGGCGGTGTAGTTATAGTCTGATCAGTTGTATTGATTATATTGTGATTTGAAACCTCTGATTTATCAATGAGAGTGAGTTAAGATTTAACGTATTTAGGTTTAGAGTTTTTCCAAACGATTCAGAATCAGCAGCAAAACGAGGATGATATACGAGGAAAATTACTATATCCTGCAAGTAATGTTGCTAAACTCGATGGTCGTGACAGAAGACATATGTATGGAATAATATCGAGATATATACAATGACGATTATGTGAAACGTTCCCTCCACAGATTCGGGTCGCTAAACCCTCTGAACTTCCTGGAGGGTATACACCTAGACCCGGTCCACGACGTAGAGGCCACGCCCTTCTTCACACGCGGGGACTATGAGAACTTCATCGCACGTCTTCAGAACACTCCATTCCAGGTTTGATGTCATGGTAACAGACATAAAAGAAACGTTTGTTATCTTATCTTTTAATCGATGCCATTATTGGAAACATTTAATATGTTTAGATTCTCTATAATATGACGAAAAAACAGAGTTTCCACAAAATGAACCTCTTTCAGCTGTAATAGTTTGAATCCATTGTCACGTCTTTGTATCCTTTAAATAAACTGACGTCCAAAAGAAACTCTACGAGAGTTTGAAATCACTCTTGCTCAAAAACAACAAAACATACATGAATGAAGTAAAGTGTATTGAGAAGATCAATGTATCAACATAATCAACATTGAAAATGACAATCATACCACGAACGAGAATGACGTCAGAGCCCCCCAAAGTTGGGTGTGGTACAAAACTCGAGCCTTCAGAATCATGGACAATAGGCAAAAACAATCGCTCACGTTCATTAACAAGTCATTAGTAGCGTGTGTGACCACCAAATGCCTCAATACACGCAAAAACTCTTCGACGCACAGAAAAAGTCAGTCGTCTGATGAGGTCACGTGGGATTTGATGCCATTCTTCTTGGAGGGCCAAGATCAGTTCTTGCCGGTTGGCTGGAGAGTGTGGTCGTTGTCGAGCACGACGATCCATCAAGTCCCAGAGGTGTTCTATGGGGGACATGTCGGGTGAGCGTGCAGGCCACGGCAGGTCGTTGACGTTGTTGGCTGCGAGGAAGTTAGTGACAATTCTGGCTGTATAGGCTCTAGCGTTGTCATGCTGATAAATGACACCACGTGGCTGCTGTTGGAGAAATGGTAGGACAACTGGACGAAGAATGTTATCCGTGTAACGCTGAGCTGTCAAGTTTCCGTCAACGATGACCAGCGGTGTCCTCTCCTGCCCACAGATCCCTCCCCACACCATGACACTCCCTCCACCATATGGCACGACCTCCTGCACGCAACACGCCGCCGTTCTTTCACCCCTTCGGCGGTAAACGCGGTGTCTTCCATCAGCCCTAAACATACAGAATCGACTTTCGTCAGTGAAAACAACCCTCTGCCAGTCACGTGGTTGCCAACGTCGTACAGTCCGGGCCAATCTTAATCGCAGACGACGATGTTGCGCTGTCAATAGCTGTCCTTTGTATGGTCTAAAAGCCCTGATTCCATGAGCCCTGAGTCTCCTGGCCACTGTCTGTCGACTAACCCTGTGACCTAAGGCATTTGTCGCAGATGACGTCACTGTCAGGAAGCGATTTCGGAGGTGCAAGATACGCAAATACCGGTCATCATGGGGCGTGGTTACCCTGTGTCTGCCTGTTCTTGGCCTGTCAGCGGTCCGCCCTGTCTGTCTGTAACGTTCCATCAAGTTGGTAACGGCAACACTGGAGCAACCGAAGGTTCGTGCAATATGGGCGTGGGTGGCTCCCATCTGTACCATACCCAAAGCTCGTTCACGTTGTTCGACTGTGAGTCGTGGCATTTCTTTTATGTGTTTTAATCACTGTGGATGTCTGACTTGCCGTTGCAATCGTTTTATACCCTTACCCGCACGTGCATTTGCAGTTGTCCGTGGTGCACGTGTTTTTCACTTTTCTCGCAAACATGTAACAGACGATTAACATTTTCTGCATACACTATTGTTGTATTTAGGTTATGTGTTTTAGATAGTCTTCATCGAAAATTTTTTTATACTTTGTCTGAAATTTATATTTTCAGTTGGTAAAGTTTCTTTTGGACATCAGTTTATATTGATTTTGTACAGTTCTCATAACATGTTCATATATGTATGGCCATCAAGATGAGTGAGTGAGTATGGTTTTACCCCGCTTTTAGCAACATTTCTGGAATATTAAGGCGGGGGATACCAGAAATGGGCTTCACACTTTGTACCCGTGATGGGATCGAACCCGGGCCTTTAGCGTTACGAGCAAACCAAAGCGCCCCCCATCAAGATGAATTTAACATACTTGTACTATCGTGTTTTACAGCTCAGCCAGTATAAAGACCTATACAGAACAGCAATGACAATAAACCGAACATCACACAACGCGTCAGTGGCAAGTATAATTATTTACCCTTAAAGAAACATAAGCTAAGATGTAAATTGTATGTCACTCGTCTCCGGCACTGACAGTAAACTATGTACAAGTATATTTGTGATCAGTCGAACAAGGAAGTGCAGATTATGAATTTTAGTGACCTCAAGTAATTTTGTTTATTTTTGTTAATCTTTTTAAAGATTTGGCAAACTCGGAACTACTTTTTAAGTCGCATTTACAAGGAGTGGTGAAACACCCCTGTTTGTTAGGTAGGGGGAATTTACGTTACAAGGTTTTACATTTGTAATAACAAAACAATTTCAACACAGAACTTATATAATAAATAGGATGTTTCACGAGACACATGGAGTATACTCTTTATATCTCTCTCGTCCAAGGCACTGACAGTAAACTATGTACAAGTATATTTGTGATCAGCCGAACAAGGAAGTGCAGACATGAGTTTAGAATTCCTGGATTTGCCTGCAGGATCGTGTGCCGGGGCAGATAGAGCGGCTGCTTGTGGACCCAGAACAGTCGGCCTTCTACCAACCATTCACAGCACTTCTCGAAGAACTGCCAATAGATATACAAGTCAAGTAAGTCATGTGCTTGTCAATGACCTTATCCACGAAACATTTATCAGTTTGAAGTACATTGGAATTGACATGATGCTTTATTAAACGTGTATTGAGGAAGTGAATGTTATTTTCGCAATTCTCCAGCTATATGGTGGTGGCCTGTAAATAAAGGCTAGGCATTTTAGTGGATGGTTGCCAATCGGCGCGATGAAACTCTGTAAGCCACACATTATGATCACCCGATCATAATTTGTCGGCTATCACGAGAACCATTGAGTTCTGGGTCATCTATTCAGCCCACAATCTACACGGGAGCAATTTTGTTAACGGCGGGACAAAATGCAAATATACACGAGTCGCGAGACAAAAGAACACGCTGCTATACCACTCAATCACCACGAATAGTCGCTTAACTAACATATATCAATTTGTCTATCATTTAAGAGTTGTGACGTGGAGAAGGCATGATCAAATGTATTTTCTTCATTTCTCCAGAAGGGAAATGAGAGACAGAGCGCACGTTGCAATCCAAAGTGTACTTCAAGCATTCCGTGACCTGAAGACGTTCCTGGAAACAGTGAGTTTACTCTGCTGTCAACCATCTCGGTGAATCAATGTCTACTTATCAATTCTGTGACTTTACCAACATGCGTGTCCTAAATGATGTCATTTTCAATAAACTGTTTAAAAGAGATTGTGTATAACGACTCTTATATCTCTTCCTGAAGGAGTATTTCCCAAACACGAGGCCAAAATGGGGTGTGGGGTCCCTTCACTTCGGACTGGACTATTACAAGGCGTGCCTCGAATGGCATCTGTCCACAGACATGAGCCCAGAAACGGTTCACCAGATAGGACTTCAGGAGGTGGAGAGGATCGTGGGGCTGATGCAGAAGGTGAGATGTCACAACATGGGTTGAAGGGGAGTGAGGCTGAGGTAGAAGGTGAGGTGTGACAACATGGGTTGGAGGGGAGTGAGGCTGAAGTAGAAGGTGAGGTGTCACAACATGGGTTGGAGGAGAGTGAGGCTGAAGTAGAAGGTGAGATGTCACAACATGGGTTGGAGGAGAGTGAGGCTGAAGTAGAAGGTGAGATGTCACAACATGGGTTGGAGGGGAGTGAGGCTGAAGTAGAAGGTGAGGTGTGACAACATGGGTTGGAGGGGAGTGAGGCTGAAGTAGAAGGTGAGATGTCACAACATGGGTTGGAGGGGAGTGAGGCTGAAGTAGAAGGTGAGATGTCACAACATGGGTTGGAGGAGAGTGAGGCTGAAGTAGAAGGTGAGATGTCACAACATGGGTTGGAGGAGAGTGAGGCTGAAGTAGAAGGTGAGATGTCACAACATGGGTTGGAGGGGAGTGAGGCTGAAGTAGAAGGTGAGATGTCACAACATGGGTTGGAGGAGAGTGAGGCTGAAGTAGAAGGTGAGATGTCACAACATGGGTTGGAGGGGAGTGAGGCTGATGCACAAGGTGAGATGTCACAACATGGGTTGGAGGAGAGGGGCTTACACAAAAATGGCAATGGGAGGTACAGAGGGGATGTTGCTTTCTTGTTTTATGGTCGAAAAGTGGCATTGGGTATCGTACCTGAAATGAATATTAGTCCACTGAACCAAAAAAACACTCTGATATTTAGCCTTTGATAAAATGTTTTCTGCTCTAGATCATGGACAAGCAGAATTTCAAAGGATCTGTTGCAGAGTACTTCGCGATGATGAAGAACGACACGTCGTTACATATGGAAACAGAGGTACGATTGGTTAGGAATATCCTACGGATCATACTGTTTCAAGGTTACCATTTAATGTTTTTCTCCATGATTTCATAATCTAGTTCCAGCCTCATTGTTCTGTTTCTCACAGGAGGAACTACTGGAAGCATACCAGAAAATTGTAAATGAAAGAGTGAAGCCAAGGCTGCCTGAAATGTTCAATAATCTGCCTAATCTACCAGTAAAGTAAGTTGATTAAGTTACCTATAATTAGAAGGTGATACATGTATATTTGCCATTTTCTTATAAATTATATCACACTTCAAAGTCATTTCGTTAACGCAATGTACGTAATCTGCCGACTACTACTAAAGCACAAACAAACGAGTATGCCACGTGTATGGTTGAGACTTTATGGTTGCACTTCGTAACGGGTTTGTTTTAGAGTAGAGCCCATGCCGTATGATGGCCCAGGGGGACAGTACATCTCTGGATCCGAGGATGGCTCAAGGCCCGGTATTTTCCTCGTCAATCTGTATAGACCACAAGAAACGTATGTTTAACTAGCTAATTCTTTTAGCATCCACTGGCAAGACGCTCTCCTCACTAACGTTGTAGGAACATTATCTGTCCACTCTTTCTTGATGTTGATAATGTCAAGTTTCCACCTCGCCCGGTGTACAGGATCAATTCTGTTGACTCAATTGTCCAACATTATTGATATTGGGAGCGGAAGCAATGATGTTGCTTTCTAAATCTATATTAAGAAAATTAGTCTTGAACACATGAATACCGTTGCTACCGTGCAGAGTCACGTGCGTTATGGTTCTAACTGTGTGTTCTACGTTAACGAATTAAGAAGGGGCTATACGCCAATGATCTGTATTCTATTATGACAAAAGGACCAACTTTATGATTCTATCCGTGTTTTCTATGTTGACACAAAGGACCCACTTTATGATTCTAGTCGTGTATTCTATGTTGACACAAAGGACCTTCTTTATGATTCTAGCGTGTTTTCTATGTTGACACAAAGGACCTACTTTATGATTCTAGTCGTGATTTCTATGTTGACTCAAAGGACCTACTTTATGATTCTAGTCGTGTTTTCTATGTTGACTCAAAGGACCTTCTTTATGATTCAAGTCGTGTTTTCTATGTTGACACAAAGGACCTACTTTATTTGTTCCTAGTCGCGTTTTCTATGTTGACACAAAGGACCTACTTTATTATTCTAGTCGTGTTTTCTATGTTGACTCAAAGGACCTACTTTATGATTCTAGTCGTGTTTTCTATGTTGACACAAATGACCTACTTTATGTTCCTAGTTGTGATTTCTATGTTGACACAAAGGACCTACTTTATGATTCTAGTCGTGGTTTCTATGTTGACACAGAGGACTTACTTTATTATTCTAGTCGTGTTTTCTATGTTGACACAAAGGACCTTCTTTATGATTCTAGTCGTGTTTTCTATGTTGACACAAAGGACCTTCTTTATGATCTAGTCGTGTTTTCTATATTGACACAAAGGACCCACTTTATGATTCTAGTCGTGTTTTCTATGTTGACACAAAGGACCTTCTTTATGATTCTAGTCGTGTTTTCTATGTTGACTCAAAGGACCTACTTTATGATTCTAGTCGTGTTTTCTATGTTGACTCAAAGGACCTACTTTATGATTCTAGTCGTGTTTTCTATGTTGACACAAAGGACCTACTTTGTGTTCCTAGTCGCGTTTTCTATGTTGACACAAAGGACCTACTTTATGTTCCTAGTCGTGTTTTCTATGTTGACTCAAAGGACCTTCTTTATGATTCTAGTCGTGTTTTCTATGTTGACAAAAGGGACCCACTTTATGATTCTAGTCGTGTTTTCTATGTTGACTCAAAGGACCTACTTTATGATTCTAGTCGTGGTTTCTATGTTGACACAAAGGACATTCTTTATGATTCTAGTCGTGTTTTCTATGTTGACACAAAGGACCCACTTTATGATTCTAGTCGTGTTTTCAATGTTGACTCAAAGGACCTATTTTATTATTCTAGTCGTGTTTTCTATGTTGACACAAAGGACCTACTTTATGTTCATAGTCGCGTTTTCTATGTTGACACAGGGGACCCACTTTATGATTCTAGTCGTGTTTTCTATGTTGACTCAAAGGACCTACTTTATGATTCTAGCGTGTTTTCTATGTTGACACAAATGACCTACTTTATGTTCCTAGTCGTGTTTTCTATGTTTACACAAAGGACCTACTTTATGTTCCTAGTCTTGTTTTCTATGTTGACACAAAGGACCTACTTTATGTTCCTAGTCGCGTTTTCTATGTTGACACAAAGGACCTACTTTATGATTCTAGTCGTGTTTTCTATGTTGACTCAAAGGACCTTCTTTATGATTCTAGTCGTGTTTTCTATGTTGACACAGGGGACCCACTTTATGATTCTAGTCGTGTTTTCTATGTTGACACAAAGGACCTACTTTATGATTCTAGTCTTGTTTTCTATGTTGACACAAAGGACTTTCTTTATGATTCTAGTCGTGTTTTCTATATTGACACAAAGGACCCACTTTATGATTCTAGTCGTGTTTTCTATGTTGACACAAAGGACCCACTTTATGATTCTAGTCGTGTTTTCTATGTTGACTCAAAGGACCTATTTTATTATTCTAGTCGTGTTTTCTATGTTGACACAAAGGACCTACTTTATGTTCATAGTCGCGTTTTCTATGTTGACACAGGGGACCCACTTTATGATTCTAGTCGTGTTTTCTATGTTGACTCAAAGGACCTACTTTATGATTCTAGTCGTGTTTTCTATGTTGACACAAAGGACCTACTTTATGTTCCTAGTCGTGTTTTCTATGTTGACACAAAGGACCTACTTTATGATTCTAGTCGTGTTTTCTATGTTGACACAAAGGACCTACTTTATGATTCTAGTCGTGTTTTCTATGTTGACTCAAAGAACCTACTTTATGTTCCTAGTCGCGTTTTCTATGTTGACACAGGGGACCCACTTTATGATTCTAGTCGTGTTTTCTATGTTGACACAAAGGACCTACTTTATGATTCTAGTCGTGTTTTCTATGTTGACACAAAGGACCTACTTTATGAGTGAGTGAGTGAGTGAGTTGGGTTTAACGCCGCTTTTAACAGTATTCCAGTTATATCACGGCGTGTCAGCTTAATGTGGGAGGAAAGCCCGAAGTGAGGCAGGTCTCAGACGTTTACCACTTCGGTGAAACCCACGAGCACGGGTATGGTGCTGACAAACCTAGAAACATAATCGGTGCGAACCGGGATTCGAACCCACAATCATAGGTTTCTCATTGCGGCGCCTTAGACGACTGGGCCACCCGTGCCCCCCCCCCCCCCCCCCCCCCCCTTCTTTATGATTCTAGTCGTTTTTTCTATGTTGACACAAAGGACCTACTTTATGTTCCTAGTCGCATTTTCTATGTTGACACAGGGAACCCACTTTATGATTCTAGACATTTTTTCTATGTTGACGCATGACTATACGTTCTTGTGTTCTATATTGGCATATGTCACCTACGTCATGGCTCAAACCGTTTGTACGGCATGGCTCTGAGCGTTTAGTCTGTAGTTGACCTTGATATATCACGCGTCATGGCTCTAACCGTTTTGTCTGTAGTCTATCTTGAATTATTATACGTCACGGGTCTAACTGTGTCTTCCATGTTGATGCAGGGGAACCTACGTCATGGTGCCTATCACGCTGCATGAGTCGATACCTGGCCATCATCTTCAGGTAATGTACGTCGCACGGAGTACACACGTCACCTATGGGCGACATTACACATTATCTATTGTTATAACCATGGGCACTGAAAAAAAATCCCAGACACTCAAAAATGTCAGCTTAGCTATTATTTTAGGCAAGTGTAATGGAGCTTTTATCAAAACTACCGTTACATAACGGTCGTGTCAGCTTAATGTTCAAGAATCCAAAACAGTTAGAATACAATCAGACTGAAACTGGGATTCGAACCAATGACCAGTGGGTCCTGGTTACCAGCTTTACATAGATTTATGTCACATAAACCCTCACGAAGTTCGCGTAAAGACAATATACCAACATGACTGTGTTCAGGGCACCAACACAAATAGGTATACTCTTCATAAACTATCCTTCTGCTCGGAACTGTACCTTAAAGTTATAACTGTTTCAAAATTTAGAGTAGCCTGGCTCTGATTAGAAGTAGTTCACACCAATTAAAAATAGAAACAGGAAGACATATTCGGCAATCAAGAGAACTGCGAATGTGTGAATTATGTAATTGTTACACTATTGGAATGCTTATAAAACCATTAAGGCAACATATATTTGTCAAAGGTTTTATGTTTAACATTTCGTTATAAATTCAATCAGCTGATGTCCTCTCCAAACCCATGTCAATAAAAAATCTTGCAATGTACATATATCATGCAATGTTTCTGGGACAAAGTAACTTGAATTAACGTAGAAGTATTACCCCCTCTCTCCAATATGACATGGCTTCAACACCTTTGTGTAATAGACCGATGGCCTTTTCACATTCCTCGAATAAACATAAACTAACAGACCCACACATATTTCTTCGTGAAATACTGGATACACTTTCTGTTATTACAGGCTAGCTACGGGTTGAAAGCAAGCCTGCCTAGTTTCCGGCGCAACACGGAGTTTTCTCGGTACTATGAGGTGCCGTTCCACTTCCCTTTCTACACTGCCTATGTGGAGGTAGGACGCCGGCACCTTTACGTGTTACTGTACCTTTAAAACTACTGTAGACATGATGTACACATACGTTAACATTAAAACAATTAACATATTGAGTAATCTAAAGCATTATCTTTGAAAAGTTCGCTCAATTACTCTCACTGGTTTAGGTCGTCAGTCAAATGAGGATTTTAAGACCTCATCAACCAAGTGGATGATCAATCCAGCTGATACTTGTTCGGGTTGACAGATTTCCCCCATATTAAGGGAGAAACTCTATAGAGGCCAGTACTGTAAGAGTGAAGCGCTTGTTACACAAAGGGTGAACTATATGGAGGTTAGTGTTGTAAGGGTCAGGCGACTGTCAACACAACTGTTGTTGTTACCGCAGGGCTGGGCACTGTATGCTGAATCTCTCGGAGAAGAGCTAAACCTATATCAACACGACCGTGAACTGTGAGTATTCCCACCAACTGTATGTACTTCCCTCTCCCCTTGAAGGTAAGACGACGAAATATTAGTGCCCCCTACTCTTCGTGAACTGTGAGTTCCACCACCGGATGTATGTACCTCCATTTCCTAGTGAACTTTGTGTGAACCTTGGTCTCCTCTTGCACTGTGAGTAAGACGACCAAATGTAAGTGCCTCCTACTCTTAGTGGACCCTGAGTACAAGCACCCAATGTATGTACCTTCCTCTCCTCTTGCACTGTGAGTAAGCCGACCAAATGTGCCTCCTTGTGTTCGTGAACCGTGAGTCTACCCACATAATGTATGTACCTCCCAATCCCCTTGAACTGTGAGTGAGACGACCAAATGTAAGTGCCTCCTTCTCTTAGTGGACTGTAAGTACGCCAACATAATGTATGTACCTTCCTTTCCTCTTGAACTGTGAGTGAGACGACCAAATGTGCCTCCTTGTGTTCGTGAACCGTGAGTCTACCCACATAATGTATGTACCTCCCTCTCCTCTTGACCTTTAAGACGACAAAAGGTGTCTCCTTCTGGTCGTGTGAGTACACTCACTAACTGTATGTATTTTACTTTCCTCTGGACTGACCAGTTTACTGCTTCTGGTGTTCTGCTGTTACACCGATGGCAATGACCAGTACTGATGATTTCCTTCAGAGCATACTCTGTGTTTCAGCATGGGCCGATACAGTCTAGAAATATTCCGGGCTTGCAGACTGGTCGTGGATACAGGCTTGCATTATTATGGGTAAGTTGAAGAGTCCAGTTCACGTTTCATTCTTCAAACATGACGGCATTGTGTACTTGTGCACTCAACTCAGGGTAAGACGTCGAAATCCATTTCATACTCTGTCTCAGTCCTTTAATTTGTAACGTCTGTATCAATGCAAGTGTCATGTAAAGCTGTGGTTTCTTTCATTGATGTCAATTAAGCATACATTAGGTGGTTTCATACTTCCAAGCAATCAAGGGTAGATTGATTGTAAGTTAGGTGATTATGAAACCGATGGATCATCGATACCCCATTAATCTAAAGCGTGTAAATGTGTATGTAAAGCGTGTGTGTATGTGCACTTCCCTTGTCGCCTCAGGAAAGTCTGGTCATGGTAAGAACCCTACTTCGCCTCGATAACAATCTATGGTCTGTCAGCACCATATTATCAAAGTATTGACATCTAAGACCTGCGTTATTTTGTGTGGTCTCCCATATCCAGCTGACACACAGTGGCATGACTGACATAGTATTCGATATGCCCAACTCACTCACTCACTCACTCACTCACTCACTCGAGCCACCCGTACTGATTCCTGACGGTGTTGTGCCAGGTGGAACCGCGAAGACGCGATCCAGTACATGCTCAACTACACATCCTTCTCCCGGGTGGAAATGACGATAGAGGTCGACCGATACATCACGTGGCCAGGACAGGCATGCGCATACAAGATTGGCGAAATCAAAATAAAAGAGTTACGGAAGAGAGCACAAGATCAATTGGGTAAGGACATAACAATATGGAACCTGCACCTTCTACACAGGATGCATTAGGTAAGGACATAACAAGGAGGAACCTGTACCTTCTACACAGGATGCATTAGGTAAGGACATAACAAGGGGGAACCTTCACCTTCTACACAGGATGCATTAGGTAAGGACATAACAAGGGGGAACCTGCACCTTCTACACAGGATGCATTGGGTAAGGACATAACAAGGGGGAACCAACACCTTTTACACAGGATGCATTAGGTAAGGACATAACAAGGGGGAACCTGCACCTTCTACACATGATGCATTAGGTAAGGACATAACAAGGGGGAACCTGCACCTTCTACACAGGATGCATTAGGTAAGGACATAACAAGGGGGAACCTGCACCTTCCACACATGATGCATTAGGTAGGGACATAACAAGGGGGAACCTGCACCTTCCACACATGATGCATTAGGTAGGGACATAACAAGGGGGCAGCTGTACCTTCTACACATGATGCATTAGGTAAGAACATAACAAGGGGGAACCTGCACCTTCCACACATGATGCATTAGGTAGGGACATGACAAGGGGGACCTGCACCTTCTACATAGGATGCATTAGGTAAGGACATAACAAGGGGGACCTGCACCTTCTACACAGGATGCATTAGGTAAGGACATAACAAGGGGGAACCTGCACCTTCTACACAGGATGCATTATGTAAGGACATAACAAGGGGTGACCTGCACCTTCTACACATGATGCATTAGGTAAGGACATAACAAGGGGGAACATGCACCTTCTACACAGGATGCATTAGGTAAGGACATAACGAGGGGGAACCTTCACCTTCTACACATGATGCATTAGGTAAGGACATAATAAGGGGGAACCTGCACCTTCCACACATGATGTATTAGGTAAGGACATAACAAGGGGGACCTGCACCTTCTACACATGATGCATTAGGTAAGGACATAACAAGGGGGAACCTGCACCTTCTACACATGATGCATTAGGTAAGGACATAACAAGGGGAAACCTGCACCTTCTACACAGGATGCATTGGGTAAGGACATAACAAGGGGGAACCTGCACCTTCTACACAGGATGCATTGGGTAAGGACATAACAAGGGGGAACCAACACCTTTTACACAGGATGCATTAGGTAAGGACATAACAAGGGGGGACCTGCACCTTCTACTCAGGATGCATTAGGTAAGGACATAACAAGGGGGAACCTGCACCTTCTACACAGGATTCATTAGGTAAGGACATAACAAGGGGGAACCTGCACCTTCTACACAGGATTCATTAGGTAAGGACATAACAAGGGGAACCTGCACCTTCTACACAGGATGCATTAGGTAAGGACATAACAAGGGGGAACCTGCACCTTCTACACAGGATGCATTGGGTAAGGACATAACAAGGGGGAACCTGCACCTTCTACACATGATGCATTAGGTACGGACATAACAAGGGGGAACCTGCACCTTCCACACATGATGCATTAGGTAGGGACATAACAAGGGGGCAGCTGTACCTTCTACACATGATGCATTAGGTAAGGACATAACAAGGGGGAACCTGCACCTTCTACACAGGATGCATTGGGTAAGGACATAACAAGGGGGAACCAACACCTTTTACACAGGATGCATTAGGTAAGGACATAACAAGGGGGGACCTGCACCTTCTACTCAGGATGCATTAGGTAAGGACATAACAAGGGGGAACCTGCACCTTCTACACAGGATTCATTAGGTAAGGACATAACAAGGGGGAACCTGCACCTTCTACACAGGATTCATTAGGTAAGGACATAACAAGGGGAACCTGCACCTTCTACACAGGATGCATTAGGTAAGGACATAACAAGGGGGAACCTGCACCTTCTACACAGGATGCATTGGGTAAGGACATAACAAGGGGGAACCTGCACCTTCTACACATGATGCATTAGGTACGGACATAACAAGGGGGAACCTGCACCTTCCACACATGATGCATTAGGTAGGGACATAACAAGGGGGCAGCTGTACCTTCTACACATGATGCATTAGGTAAGGACATAACAAGGGGGAACCTGCACCTTCCACACATGATGTATTAGGTAAGGACATAACAAGGGGGACCTGCACCTTCTACACATGATCCATTAGGTAAGGACATAACAAGGGGGAACCTGCACCTTCTACACATGATGCATTAGGTAAGGACATAACAAGGGGGAACCTGCACCTTCTACACAGGATGCATTAGGTAAGGACATAACAAGGGGGAACCTGCACCTTCCACACATGATGCATTAGGTAAGGACATAACAAGGGGGACCTGCACCTTCTACACAGGATGCATTAGGTAAGGACATAACAAGGGGGAACCTGCACCTTCCACACATGATGCATTAGGTAGGGACATAACAAGGGGGCAGCTGTACCTTCTACACATGATGCATTAGGTAAGGACATAACAAGGGGGAACCTGCACCTTCTACACATGATGCATTAGGTAGGGACATAACAAGGGGGCAGCTGTACCTTCTACACATGATGCATTAGGTAAGGACATAACAAGGGGGAACCTGCACCTTCCACACATGATGCATTAGGTAGGGACATAACAAGGGGGCAGCTGTACCTTCTACACATGATGCATTAGGTAAGGACATAACAAGGGGGAACCTGCACCTTCTACACATGATGCATTAGGTAGGGACATAACAAGGGGGCAGCTGTACCTTCTACACATGATGCATTAGGTAAGGACATAACAAGGGGGAACCTGCACCTTCCACACATGATGTATTAGGTAAGGACATAACAAGGGGGACCTGCACCTTCTACACAGGATGCATTAGGTAAGGACATAACAAGGGGGAACCTGCACCTTCCACACATGATGTATTAGGTAAGGACATAACAAGGGGGAACCTGCACCTTCCACACATGATGTATTAGGTAAGGACATAACAAGGGGGACCTGCACCTTCTACACAGGATGCATTAGGTAAGGACATAACAAGGGGGAACCTGCACCTTCCACACATGATGCATTAGGTAAGGACATAACAAGGGGGAACCTGCACCTTCCACACATGATGCATTAGGTAAGGACATAACAAGGGGGAACCTGCACCTTCCACACATGATGTATTAGGTAAGGACATAACAAGGGGGACCTGCACCTTCTACACATGATGCATTAGGTAAGGACATAACAAGGGGGAACCTGCACCTTCCACACATGATGCATTAGGTAGGGACATAACAAGGGGGCAGCTGTACCTTCTACACATGATGCATTAGGTAAGGACATAACAAGGGGGAACCTGCACCTTCCACACATGATGTATTAGGTAAGGACATAACAAGGGGGACCTGCACCTTCTACACAGGATGCATTAGGTAAGGACATAACAAGGGGGAACCTGCACCTTCTACACATGATGCATTAGGTAAGGACATAACAAGGGGGAACCTGCACCTTCTACACAGGATGCATTAGGTAAGGACATAACAAGGGGGAACCTGCACCTTCCACACATGATGCATTAGGTAGGGACATAACAAGGGGGAACCTGCACCTTCTACACATGATGCATTAGGTAGGGACATAACAAGGGGGCAGCTGTACCTTCTACACATGATGCATTAGGTAAGGACATAACAAGGGGGAACCTGCACCTTCCACACATGATGTATTAGGTAAGGACATAACAAGGGGGACCTGCACCTTCTACACAGGATGCATTAGGTAAGGACATAACAAGGGGGAACCTGCACCTTCCACACATGATGTATTAGGTAAGGACATAACAAGGGGGAACCTGCACCTTCCACACATGATGTATTAGGTAAGGACATAACAAGGGGGACCTGCACCTTCTACACAGGATGCATTAGGTAAGGACATAACAAGGGGGAACCTGCACCTTCCACACATGATGCATTAGGTAAGGACATAACAAGGGGGACCTGCACCTTCTACACAGGATGCATTGGGTAAGGACATAACAAGGGGGAACCTGCACCTTCCACACATGATGCATTAGGTAAGGACATAACAAGGGGGACCTGCACCTTCTACACAGGATGCATTATGTAAGGACATAACAAGGGGGAACCTGCACCTTCTACAAATGATGCATTAGGTAAGGACATAACAAGGGGGAACGTGCACCTTCTACACAGGATGCATTAGGTAGGGACATAACAAGGGGGAACGTGCACCTTCTACACAGGATGCATTAGGTAGGGACATAACAAGGGGGAACGTGCACCTTCTACACAGGATGCATTAGGTAAGGACATAACAAGGGGGAACCTGCACCTTCTACACAGGATGCATTAGGTAGGGACATAACAAGGGGGAACCTTCACCTTCTACACATGATGCATTAGGTAAGGAGAAAACAAGGGAAAACCTGTTGCGTCTACACCAGAAGCATTGGGTAAGGAATATGTAACACGTGATGGACCTGACCAATACTTATCTGTTTTCTAAAACATGATTGCTACTCCGAATCTTGCAAGAAAAGGGAGGATTAAGGAAACAAGCCACTAGACTACAACGTTTGACTAACTTAGGACTTGTCATTTAGCAGATAGTTAATTGTTAAATGATAATTGCAATGGTTTTACTTTGAACAAATAAAGAAGGGTATATTATGTAAATATAACAAGTGAAAACAATTGACTAAAGCAGAAATAAATTATCTGAAGCTTGCACCCTCAGGAAGTACCTATTAAAAGTCTATATGAATACTGATTCCAGGTGAGCTGTTTGATATCCGGGAATTCCACTCCGTGGTGCTGGAGAACGGCCCTATGCCTCTCACCATCCTGGAGGAGATCGTGGACGACTGGATCCTCCACTACAGGCCCTCCACCGTGGAGGAGACGTGCACAGACGCCGCACACACACAGCACGTCTCTGTTCTTATGTCTCTGTGTCTCATCACACTGAGTCTATCTTAGTGGCTGAGCGACTGGCTTCCCCGGCTGACAAGTGCTCACAATATGATTACCCTGTCTCCATCTTACTCTGTTACTGTGAGGGTGACGGCTTGGTTTGTCCGCCCGTCACATAAAAGGCATTCTCGCCGTCTCACCCGACTGGTAAAAACTACATAGTACTGACATCCTGCCAAGAGCTCATAACATGAGTCATGCCCCTTTGGAATAATTGCATCTTATCGCTGGTGCTGCAAAATATGACAGTACTTAAAATATCATATGTTGCTTGGGATACAAATACTTGTGGACCCTACGCAGTCTATGGCTTCAGGTGCATGCCTTTCACCTACTGGCAGACCTATGCACGACTGCCGGAACTTTTCACGACCACGCCTTATCAATGCAATCAGCGACGTCAGTTTGTGTACAGCCACATGTTCCTGGACTCATTCTTGAGTGTCCATATTTATATTAAGTCCACAAGAGGACATTGTCTCTGTATGTCTTCAACGTAATCAAAATCATCAGGCCACCATTGGAGAAACCATCTTCCCGAGGCAAGAGAGTTAACTGACTTTAAAAGTCCAGCTTCCACCCTTGCCGAACTAGGCTGGAATTCCTAGGCTCGATCTAGTGCCACCAATGGTTATTACGAGTTTTGTCCCGTCCAAACCTCTCCTGTGGACCAATCAGATTCCACCTCTCGTATAACGTGCATTTGATGCAAACAAAATTGCGGCGCCCAGTCAAGACGATCTGATGGATAGTCAATATGTATATTGTGATACAACGGGTTTTACATCGAAAATCAAATCACGTGAGCACCTTGATTAAAATCATGAAAAAGATTTGGAAAATATCCCTTGACCACGAATTGGCGGTGCACATGCTTTGCTGACAAGGTAAGGATGTCATCTGTGGGATGACTCCACGCCCTGCTACACATAGACTCGTTGGCCCAGCCAAAATGTAACTCCTTAATACCAGACTAGTTCGGCAAGGGTGGAAACTGGACTTTTATAGTCAGTTAACTCTCTTGCCTCGGGAAGATGTGGAGAAACCTCATCACCTCACATACCGCCCAAGTAAATGTTTTATTAAAGTTGATAAAGTCCACGATGCAGCTGGTACATATAGCTCGATGGGTCGCCAAGTTTCGTCTGTAAGTTATCCCATGTGTACGATTAAAATTCAATTAATTTCTAGCTTTAAAATGTCAATGTCTGAAAGCGACCTATTAGTAATATAAATAAAACCGTCAGGATGACGTACGCTTGTTATAGAAACATGCCGCGTCATAATATTGTCTAAAGTATCCTAGGCGACTATGGCATGGCCGTATTTATTTTCTGATGTATAAAATTGAGTGAAAACCATCAACACAATGCCAACCCGTCCATTGTATTCCTACCAGTTGTTGAGAAGACATTACATGAGTGTAGACAAAATATTGTATCATGTACGTTCTTAGAAGTATTATTAGGTTATGTATACTATTTGTGAGTATGCTAATGCATGTATGGATATAAACATGAGAATATCTGAATAAATATTTTTATAAATACGCTTCATCTGCTTGATCGATCTTTGGTGTCAGTGCGTTGATGTGTTTGTCCTGTAGGAATGTGGACATTTATGAACGTCACACAACCAACGAAGACATCTTGTTCATTGTACGTAAGGTACAAATTTCACAGTCTCTGTTTGATGTAGCAACACACACAGTTTGTCCACGACAGTGGTACAATGATACATGAGGTACACGAACAGGTATGCACCTCCAGCCAGGACTTAAAATTAACAGAAAACACAAAAGATAGATGCATGAAGTAAATTTATTTTGAAAAGATCAAAATCGACATCATTATTTAAAATGACAGTCATATAACATTCAATATTGGCATGACAGCTGTCCGAATTGAGGTGTTGTAGCAAAAACTTGCTTACAATGTAATGCACAAAGGGCACACATATCTAAAATCGCTCAAGTTCAATGATACGTCACATTAATAGCGTGTATGACCACTCCCTTCAACAAGACACGAAAAAAACTCCCCGATACACAGAAAAAAGTCAGTCGTCTGATAACGTCAGGTGGGATACGTCCACAATCTTCTGGCAGTGCCTGAACCAGTAATGTCGGCTGGTTGGAGGATGTGGTCGCTGTCGAAAACGACGATCCATGACATCCCATAGGTGTTCTAAGAGGGACATGTCTGGGGAGCGTGCAGGTCACGGCAACACGTTGACGTTGTTGCTGTGTTAGATCGGAATATGACCCAGACGACACAATGATATCTTGGGTCAAGGTTGCTTATTCGGCCATATATTTGATAACAAGACATGTACGTGCGCAAACAGCAGCACTCTCAACCAGACTAATGTCTAACTGCCATTCCCCCAGCAACCTACATCCTATACGTCACATATACTATCACATAGCACATTACGTACCAGTTATATGTTACCCTGGCGACATCGAATGCGATCACATGCTGGGCGCTGCCAGCTTGAAAGGAGTCTCGCTCTCGCAAAATCTCGTTATATTTATGAACTAACTTTAAACATTTAACAGCTGCAAGGCAGTTCTGTACGATTGGGGTTGTATAGGGTCTGGCGTTGTCAAGCTAATAAAGGACACCGAGGGGCAGCTGTTGTAGAAATAGTAGGACAATCGGACGAAGAATGTCATCTATGTAACGCTGAGCTGTCAGATTTCTTTTAACGAAGACCAGCTCCCTTCTGCCCACAAATCCCTCTCCAGCCCTAAAACCCCCTCCACCAGACGGTAGGATCTCCTAAACGCAACATGCCGATGTTTTCCATCAGCTCTGAACCGACAGAACCTGCTTTCATCAGCGAAGATGACTCTCTGGCAGTCAACGACGTAAAGTCCGGGCCCATCTCAATGTCTGACGACGATGTTGCCCTGTCAATAACTGTCCTCTGTAAGGTATGTAAGCCCTAATTCCTCGAGCCACTGTTTGTCGACTAACCATATGCCCTAATGGCTGATGACGCCATTGTCAGGAAGCGATTCCGGAGATGCAAAAGACACAAGCACCAGTCTTCATTGGGCATAGTTACCCTGGGTCTGCCTGTTTCTGGCCTGTCTGATGTCTGCTCGGTCTGTATGCAACATTGCATCAGGTTAGTTACATCAAAACGAGGGCAACTAAACTTCCCAGCAATGGGTGGCTCCCACCAGTATCATAACCAGATCCCCCTCGCATTGTTCAGGTGTTTGTCGTGGCATTCATGGGTTTTTTCTATCAGTGTGAGCGTCCGACATGTCGTCCGTATCATTTATATACCGTCTTTGTACGTGTAGTTTCGGCTGCCCAAAGATGCATGTGTTGTTCACTTTTTCGCATTTTCGTTGTGTGTTTGGTTGACGTGTTTTGCATTGATTTAGTTTGAACTTGTGTTTTTAATGTTTTTGAATTTCATTTCTAAAGTGGTAAAGTTTATTTAACCTTTCAATTTATAATATCGTATTCGGTACGAATGGCCCTGTCGTCTAAGGTGCCACAATTCGCTGTGCAGAGACGCGTCCCTTTGACGTTCCAGTGTTCGAATTCCAGATTCATTAAATTTGTATGCGTTTAGAACCGGCATCACGTCGGGCTTCCCTCTCACATCAAGCTGAGGCGAGCCTTCACTCGTTTCAGTGCACCTTTCTCATTCGTGTTATGAGCATTTTTCTTTTGATTTTATGGCGCTTCTCTGCGCAAAAGAATGGACAGTCATGGTATGTTAATGGCATTACTGTCTTAGTAAATACTTTAAGAAATATGCAAAACATATAGAAATCCATATGGAACTTATCAGACACAACTCCAAGATATGCACGTTTTGAACTTGTAACAAAACAACACTCAATGAGTATATTAGATTCAAATGTGTCGGCACGGCTGATTTGAGAGGTTTTCGGTAGGGCGTTGAATATGAAGAAGTTGTTGACCAATGATGATTTGTGGAAAACGACAGTACAAACATATGGGAAAGAATCATATTGGGTCGCACGCTCTTGCTCATAGTTAGATTTGCTCTTGACGTTGAAAACTTTTATGGACTTGAACATGACAGAAGGATAAAGGTGTGAGAACGTCGAAGATCTCAATGTGGGATAGTTTTTATACCAGTATTACATTATTTGACTCACATGCAGTGAACCAAGTTACAATATTCTACAATTAGTATCCTAATAAGTATCCCTTATTACGTGTCATCGCAATACATAACAGATAAAGAGATATGGAGATAATAGGTAGCCTTGTCTACAGCCTCGACCTAGATCAAATCCATCCAAAGTGTATAAATGTTTCACTACCAAAACCATTAGCAGAAAGTTAATTCATTCATTATGTACAAATAGGGCTAAAGTTGATTGTTGTGAAAAATAGTTTTAAATGACAAATGTCAATTGAAAATATATTTGTGTCAAAAAGCTATAACCTCTAAACACGACGATACGAGTTGTTTTTACAGGTTAACGTTAGACAAATACGTTTTCAATCGAAACATTTGGTGTTCCAAAATGTAAACGATGTGTCACTACTAAAAACTGTCGTCGACTGTACGCCCACGTAGGTATTTGATGTATGTAACAGAACATGTGGATATGTTTGCAAGATTGGGTATTGTCCTACTTCTCAGTTATCATACAGGTACCCTCAACTCTAAAGCTAGGATCGCTGTGGAGAGGTGCGTCCCTTTGCTTAGGCTTGAAAGTATCAAATGATTGTGGGTTCGAATCTCAGACTCGACCTTGATGGGATAATTGGGTCTTCAGCACTACTTCGAAAAGAGGTAAACAGGCACTACTCCAGGCTTTTCCTCCACATTAATCTGACATAACTGAACTACTGTTTACCCTAGACCAACGTCACGCTGACTAGGTCACGGCGGGTGATACACTAGTGTAAGGCTGTATGATGCATCCCGCATCTCACAGAGTGAGCCAGTACCATTTTCGAACCCCAGATCGTCCCCAATAATAGAACGTTTGGTCCAGCACAACACACATACTCAAGGGTTTTACTTATCGTGAAAGACGGCCCTTTGTTTACAACATACATCAAACAGACGAACTGTAATCAGGCTGACTTTTGGCTCGCATATTGATCTGTCCCTATCAGAGCAGCACCAACGCAAACCTAGATAGTCACGCTCCACTCAGGTATTCATCCTTTACATGAACAGCAGATGAACAGAGCGTATAGTAGTAAGCTATCACCAATACAAATATCACATGTGCATTACGATGTGTTGGCGTAAATTTATGGGAGTCTTTGCGTCTCCAGACAAATATGGGCCAATCGATGGGGGATACATGCTTGAATCATGCATTATATCATCATCATCTGGGAGGTGAAATAAGACCAACTCGGATGTAATCCTAAACATGTTTATTATTTCAGTAGTGGCCCTGTCATGGTCATTGAGAGGATACAACATGTTAGAACCGTGGATGAAGCGACATGCAGCTTCCAGCTGCCAACGTCGACGTACAAACGAACATACAACGTCGAGACGAACGATTCAATAAATGGGCTTTTAGACTCATACAGTAGAGTATCACAGCACTGAACTTCCAAACATTACATGTCACAGGGAGATAATGCTCGCCATGCTTGCTGATTTCATCACGCAAGGAGATGGCTAACAGTGAGCTAACAAAAATATATATGTTTGCAAAAAATATACTGGCATGAAATGTGAAACAGTGTGCACTCCACGTCAAAAGTTCTTTAACCGGTGTTGACGACTTTATGTCACAATTATATGACTCATTACTGTTTAAATACAGACCTTACCACACTGCATTTGTAATAACAATATATTTGTTTTTGAACATTAAGATTAGATCCAAGCATTATCATATAACCTCGTCACCAGTCACATTGTTCAAAGCTTTTAGCTCCTCTTCCTTTGCTTTCATCTTCCTTGCATCCTTCCACCTCCTTGTGGGGGTTTCTGCGAGAAGGAAGATGGATGAGGCGATGGCTGAGGCACCCATTAGATTGAAGGACGCGTAGTATGTCCCTGTGATGTCCCTCAAAAGTCCTTGAATATATCAGCAAATTCACATTTTGCAACATATCAATACTTGGATCGAGTAAATGTTGCTAACGATTAAGTATAAATGTACGACCTATATCATAAAGATATTGACAGACATTGTCAAATTGGAAGAACATGAATGGATGACACGCTGTTTTATGGATAACTACTTCTTTCATTCATTGTAGCTTTCGGGCTACTTCTTGCCCCTTTATCAGGTGAATATTGATCATGAGTAAGTGTCATGTAGACCTACATCATATCATGCTGGAAACAACTGACATTGACACTGGCATATTTACAAACATGGCTGAAATGTTGTAAAGAAAAGTTGTTTCTAAAACAAAACTACTTACCAAGCACGGGGTTCATTATAGCAAGGGAGACGCCATGGAAGACCTGTACAAAGCCAAGAGCCTTGGGGAAAGTCTCGATGTCAAGGAACTCAACCATCACCACAGCATTCATTGCTTGAAAGCCACCGGAAAACATTCCAAAGATCACAACATACGTAATGAGTAAATCGTATGTGACGTAAAGTTTTGTGAACTGGCACATCATACCCGAAGCAAACATGAACAGTGCGAGCAAATTCTGCGCCCTGATTTTACCTGATTCAACTATTACTCCTGATAGAAATCGACTGACACAGTCCACTGCAGCATATATCGTGATAAGCAGGGCAGCATCCATATCAGTAAACCCTGCTTCTTGTACCATTGCTGGGAGGTAGGAATCAAACAGCGTAACAGCAACTACCCCGAAGAAGTTGAAGAAAGCAATCAGCCAAAAATTAAATCTTTTGAATGCCGAGAAATCCAGAGTGCGCGTCACCCTCTTACAACACGAAGCCTTTTTCTCTGTTACTTCTTCTATGTCGGCAGCGTTCCAATTGAGGCTCCTAGTTGAGCAAATGTTAATGTCGGCATTGCTAGCATATTTAAGAACACTTGACTGTGATAGAGTGTCGATGATCCCTCCAATGTAGCTTGGGGATGCATGAGAGCTGTTCTCGGAAATGTTGGAGTCGCTATGAGTGTGTTTAACATTGGGGAATTCACTGGTAAGAAGACTCTCCTCTGTCTTGACCTCCTTCTGTCTAATTGGGGCCCGCCTGTACAACAGGGCAAATATAAGAATTTCCATTTGTATGGCCCCGCTTATAAGCATTGTTCCTCGTAGTCCGTACTGTGTCAGGAGGTATCTGATGATCTGGGGTATGGCCATTCCCCCAATGCTGACTCCACAGCTGCTGATTGCTTGACCGAGGGCTCCCCTCTTGTCAAAATACTGCCCAACGATAACCAGACCGGGACCAAAGAGTAAAGCTGAACCCATTCCTGCAATTAATATCTGTCTTGTCACTGGTCAGTAGTTCATCAACATTGTCATGGTCGTTACAGGGTAATGTTCGAGAAATGACTATTTTTCAATTTTCATAATGAAGCGGGACATTTAATAACAAGATGTAATCCAACATACTTATGATCTTGTACATCTTGGAGCTCACCTGGCAGGATACTCTGAGTGAAGATGAGGTATTCAAGGTTCATGGCAAAAAAGCTGAGCATGCCACCGAGGGACATTAAGATCCCGCCAAGCAGACACGTAAACCGGATGCTGTACTTCTCCAGGAGGAAATTGAGTCCAATCAAAGCTGAAATGGTTAATAAATGGGACACTCAAGATGACATGGATGAAAATGATGAAAACGATATCCATGCTCATTACCAAATATCAGTCGGAATGGTTGCAAGCAAAAATAGTTATTTACATCAGATTAATGCGTCAGGAAAGCACAATGTTGCAAGGTTGTCACAAGAAGGATGCTAAAAGAGACCCAGCAACCATATACGACAGGCTCCCCAATATATATTGAAGTAAATGGTAATCAGTGTGGTATACTCTTGGAAAGTATGCCTATACCATTCCAATGTGAACTTTACAACGCAACTATGGCATTCAGGGGTACCCTGACACAGACAAGAAATGCATCCATAAAACATAACATAATTTGTCTTGGTTCCTTCAGGTGCTGGCAGTAATGTTTCAGGGTGGCCAGTAAAAAACACATCTGGACCAGACACACCAGCGATTGACATTATCGTCACACAAGGCCGGGGTACGATGACAACCAATCCACCAAGTCACCAAGCCCGACTATCCGGTCCATGTACGGGTCTCTTACAACAAGAATAGGTCAATTGAGAATGTACGTACCTGTTAGACTATATGCTGCTGAATACATCCCCATGATTAGTGACGTCACAGACGTTGGGGCTTTGAATTCCTCCAGAAATTCCACGAATAGGATGCCAAACGACCGGTACATGCCTATTTGAATCAGATTGATCCAAAACGTGGCTGTTTAACGAAAACATGGAAGGAATGATATGGTGGATGGTGTTTTTGCTGGTGAAGAGGTCACAGAAATATGATACAATATCTTATTTCAATTCCAGATACGTTTTGTGCAGTACTATCAACATAAGATATATACATTCTCCAATGAATCAACTGTCATTATTTGAATATACAATGCCTTGAAAGTGGTCATATGTAACATTTGTATTATTTGGGATAACACTTTCTTGGTCAAGTACAAATGATAGTACATTTGGGGGTTCAGTCCCATCCTGGATTCGAACACACACTCTCAGAGTGAGGCACATAATCGGCTGCACAGAAAGTCAGTGATCTAACCCACTCAACCACTGAGGCGTCCACAAAAATGGTAGTCAGACAACTGTAGAATAGATCACGTACCTTGTGCATTCATAGTGTATTCACAGGTCATTTTGTGTTCACAGCATTCTGCCATGGCAGCAGTGCTAATTTTCGATTATCACAGGGGTACATAAAGTACGTGATTTAGACTAGCATTAGTCGGACTTACATATTTGTGGTGGCTGAGTTGGTTCGATTTCGTGTGCTTGCGATCAGGTGCCTCACTCTGAGAGTGTGACTTCGAATCATGGAAGGGGCTCAACCAGAAACAATACCATAATTTGTACTTAACCACGAAAGTGTTATCCGAAATAGAACATTTGTTATATAATTATTTGAGTTTGCATTTTGAAAGTTGGTGCTGTGTTATTTATAGTGAGTATATCGATCCAGTTTGAAACCACAGAATACACGTATTCGCGTGTCAACTTACCAAATACGATAACCCAGGCCCACCCACGATCTATGGGCAGTTTGTTTTTGGTCTTTTTACCACCATCGTGTTCTTCGGAGGCTGCCACTCCGTTCTGTTCGTTGTCCGTCATTTTTCAGCTAGCAGGGTCTGAAAGAAAGAAAATATTTGATCAAGTCATATTTAAATACAGGAAAACGTGTTACATGTATATGTTACGCTGAGTAGAATATGTTGCACTTCTCTTTTACTTCTTTTAGTATTGAATACACAATGCCATTTAGAAAGTGGTAAAATGTAACCGATGTTATATTTGGGATAACACTTTCTTTGTAAAGTGCAGATTCTCGTACTTTTTTGGGTCCGGGATTCGAATAGTAAATTTTGTATTTTAGTATTGTTCCGTTTATTCATTACCGAATTATACGGACATTATATGTTTTATTAATGAGACAGTGTGTGTTTGTATGTGTCATACCTAGCCCAGTACTCGATAAAGGATTGTTTCATCTACACGTTCAAATGAGTTCACATATATGTCCCATTTATACGAGCCTCTACAATAGGCGGCCATTCGGTGAAAAAATACATAGTAGAAATAAAGGACAAAAATAGGCAATAATTGTCAAATGTTACGAATAAAGAACGAATGTTACAAATTAGGATAAATATTTATATACGAATAATAAATTCAGAATACAAAACCAATGAACAACTCGCAAACAACAGACGTCCTTTGTAAAGAAAAAACAATGTAAACTCATGAACGCCACGCAAACAACAGACGTCCTTTGTAAAGAAAAAACAATGTAAACTAATGAACGCCACGCAAACAACAGACGTCCTTTGTAAAGAAAAACAATGTAAACTCATGAACGCCACGCAAACAACAGACGTCCTTGGTAAAGAAAAACAATGTAAACTAATGAACGCCACGCAAACAACAGACGTCCTTTGTAAAGAAAAACAATGTAAACTAATGAACGCCACGCAAACAACAGACGTCCTTTGTAAAGAAAAACAATGTAAACTCATGAACGCCACGCAAACAACAGACGTCCTTTGTAAAGAAAAACAATGTAAACTCATGAACGCCACGCAAACAACAGACGTCCTTTGTAAAGAAAAAATAATGTAAACTAATGAACGCCACGCAAACAACAGACGTCCTTTGTAAAGAAAAACAATGTAAACTAATGAACGCCAGTGCACCCAAAGGAACCTTGACGGCTAAAGGACAACGTGGACAAGACAGAACCCAAGATGACGGGACTATTTGTAAAACATTCAGTTTAATCGGCTTGTTTCGCTGTGTATATGATATATACATGCAGATATGCTCTATTTGTAACATTCGTTCTGCATTCGTAACATTTGACTATTATTGCGTACTTTCGTCCTTTATTTCAACTTTGTATGTTTTTACCGAATGACCGCCCGTACCTTATACACTTGTCACACCATTCATTCTGGATCCGTGAAGATTCCGGGGAGGAATAGGTCTTCAGCAACCCATGCTTGTCGTAAAAGGCGACTAACGGGATCGAGTGGTCAGGCTCGCTGACTTGGTTGATGCATGTAATCGATCCCAATTGCGTGGATCGATTCTCATGATATCAATCACTGGAATGTCTGGTCCAGACTCGATTATTTACAGACCGCCGTCATATAGCTGGAATATTGCGGAGTGCGGTGTTAAACAACAAACCAAACACAACCATTCATTCTGTACACACATTTCAGCCATGCCTTTAGAAGAGGTGCATGTTTTAAGACTGTAGCATGTGCACATTCTGCACAAAACCACGTCCGGGAATCCAGTGGGCATTCCAAAACGATAATGAATGCTGTAAAAGCGTTTTCTTATATATTATATAGGGTTCGTCCAACACATGAGTGTTGGAACGTGAAAAAGAATGGATTTAACATTTGTATATTGGAAGGGAAACCGAAGGTAAGCATGTCCAAGACGCTTTCTACATTGGTACATACTAGTGTATGGGTATGACGCTGATGTAAGGATGATAATAACAGAGAATCTGGGATTCGAACTGATGGTCGTAGGATTTAAATGTCATATACACTTTACGTTACCAATAAGGTATTAATGGACAGACCGCTATTAACGGACAGCTTTCGCGCTCGACAGTACATTAAATACTGAAGTACAGATGTTACGATGTGCGTCTCAAAATGAACACTTCTCGTGACCGGTTGGTGTAAACTGAATAAAAACCGAGTGATTTCGTTTCAAAGACACGCCGAATGTTGAGTGTTACCATGTTTACACAGGATGTTAGATTTCACCAATGGCTTACTACGGCTTACGGCAGTGACCCCCCTTACGGCAGGGTTAAGGCGGGTCGGTTAGCGAGAGAACGAAGAAGGCAGGTACATGGCAAATCATACTGCATGGTTACCTTGCCTCATAAAAGCGGAGCATTTTCGGCACATGGGGCTTATGCGGTGAGCAGAATAGCTTATTCTATACACACGACTGACAATTCAAGGAAATGGCGGGCTACAACAGATGCCAGACTGTCAAACGGAAAATGTATGCATGTTGAATTTGCAATGATATTCGTCATGATGTTTAACGTCTCCATACATTAGTCAACATTAAACCCGCTACGTGAAACAACAATGTGCATATCACCACCTTTACTGACTCAAGTGCAATCGATGAACCTTTATCGAATTTATACCTTCCTGAGAAGCTTGCAATTTCTGGGAAGCAAGCCGTTTCTTCAGCCAGGAGGTTTCGAATGTGTACATTTGAAACCTCTTAATTGCTATTACAGCTTTCAATTCCATACTTCTGTGTTAAAATGATAATGATGTTAATATGATAATCGGGAAGGGTCCTCCCTTAAGACAATAAGGCCACCCTTGCAAAGTTTAGTTTCGTTGTATACACCATTATGTTCTGTCCGATGGCCATGGGGTCACAATACGTGACACACAGAAAGATGAGCGATAGGATAACAAATGGTGAAATAAAAAGGACATCACAAACGTAAAAAAGATGCAAACTCGCTAATAACACGCAATTTTTTTATAAAACCTGGTTGAAGCTGGTAAAATTTAATTCCGGGCCCTGATTATTTTCAACATCGGCGCGATCGCATTTGGCGGCCAGAAGGAAGACATTGTCACTCTAGAAGTAACACAGGTGGGCTATCCCTTAACATTTTAACTGCTTTTTCTACCATTTGCTCCTAAATACAGCAGAGAGATGTCAATGATATTATTTGCCGTGTTACAGATTTTGAATAGTTTATTTTTGTTGCGTACATACATTTTTTCGTACCAGCTAGGAAAGGGAAAGGTCAAAATATTCAATATAAATGGGTTGGTGTTTTGTTTTGTTTTAAATATGGACATATTAGTAGGACCGATAATTGCGTGTTATCAGCTAGTGTTGCATCTCATGTTATTTACTTGTGAAGCTTGTGAAAACCAAACAGTATTCTTACTAACGATTTCCTGTTTCCGATCTAGACGGCTCTACGTGTTATTCAGGAGAAACTGTGTTGCATCATCGACACCTCTGTTGGGTCAGAATGCTGATTGCAAATGGTGAAGAATATTATTAAATGTCAAGCTGTGTTGTTGTGTCTCAAAATGACAACATAGCATAACTATCGTTCATGTGGTTTCCTATCTAAACTATATTTTCACATTTTTTTTAAGATACGTTCGGCCCCACAATGGAATCGCAACGAATCTGATGTAAAGTACTATTTGAAATTGTTTGAAATCTGCCGGGTTTAAGAAAGAAAATGCCTTCAAGAAAGCATGATTCTAAACTGTCATGGTAGAAAGCATATCAGTACCAATAGTTATGTGTCTACACGTTAACATGAAAAAAACATAAACATTATCGTAGTGGCATTGTTGCCTGTTTGTCGTTTATTCATGTAACATAAAGAAATTCGTGCACACTATTTCTGTTAACTGTGCATTATTATGATTTCGGGATTTTTACAGCTTCTGACATTGTTCCTGTCGGTATCGAACCTGGGTCTACGGTGCAAGGAGTATCGGCCCTTAGGAATGGTATTGATGTGAATATGTTTCCTTGCCCATTTTGCGTTACACGTCTCATGCTAAATACAACATGATCTCTGTCAAGCAAATACTTGTTCATATTCATGTAATCATGTAATCCTACATCAACATTGGAAGCAGAACAAAATGCCCACATTGATACACACACCAACTGCTGATACGTAAAGAGAGCGACAAGTTCAAACCAGTCACTGTCGGGCTGATCTGGGCTGCATTTCGGCGTGGTGTATGTTTCAACGTAAGTATTGTGTTCTCGGGGCCCAAATGCGCACACCACACCTGCTTTTCAAACTCCTATTTACACAGGCGTCATGACCTTCGTCATACCTCGCCATAGTTTGCATGGTGACTCACTTTCCCAGACTGTAGGGGGGGACAGGTGGTCCAGTCGTCTAAGGCGCCGCGATTCGCTGTGCAGAGTTGCGTCCCTTTGGCACGCCAGAAATCTATGATTGTGGGTTCGAATCCCGGATCGCCCCGATTATGTTTCTAGGTTTGCCAGCACCATACCCGTGCTCGTGGGTTTCACCGAAGTGGTAAACGTCTGAGACCTGCATCACTTGGCTTTCCTCCCATATTAAGCTGACACGCCGTGATATAACTGAAATATTGTTAAAAGCGGCGTTAAACACGTTAAGCAACAAACAAACATGTAAACAGCGACTAATACAGACGGCACTATCGAGGCAATACGGGTGACACTCCGTAGCCTATAACGGATTGCCCTGAGGCCCATTCGTCCTTGAAGCTAATGAGACGGCCCAACAATGGCCCTACCAATATATCTATAAGAATGGTCTCCAGATGCACTAAGCCTATTTAATACAGAAAATCCTTATTTGCACAAAATCATTCCGTTGGTTTGAAATGTATATGGGTGCCCCGTGTGGTCCTACGGCGTGTACGTATGAGCCCCTGAAATGAATACGGATGACTCAAGTGGTCACGAGACTTATAAATGGACCTCAAGTCGACAGACGTATAGCATATGAACTATTTTATAATCAACAATGTTCTCTCTTTTGAAAACTAGTGTTTCTAAGTTCGGCTTAGGAATGCAACAATTTCGATTATCCAGA